GAGATATTAAAAAAAAATCAGCGATAAAAATTCGATTTTCGCACCGACCTCGATTTTGAAAAATAAAAAAGTGATGTACCTCTTGCCATTTTGTCGATTTGGGTCAAAATTTTGGATTTCCTTTTTTTTGATGCCAATCGATAGAACTGATCCTTACGAGTCAAAAATGGTAAAAAATTCCTAAATCGGACATTATTTGACCGAAATATTAAAAAAATATCATCGAAAAAGTTTCGATTTTCGCACCGACCTCTATTTTGAATCCGCGGGGAGCTATGTCGTTTTGGAACGCCATATCTCCCCGCGGAGCAATTACCAGAAATATTAAAAAAATAAATCATAGATAAAAATTCGATTTTCGCACCGACCTCTATTTTGAATCCGCGGGGAGCTATGTCGTTTTGGAACGTCATATCTCCGCGCGGAGCTATGTCGTTTTGGAACGTCATATCTCCCGAGATATTAAAAAAAAAAAAATCATCGATAAAAATTCGATTTTCGCAACGACCTCTATTTTGAATCCGCGGGAGCTATGTCGTTTTGGAACGCCATATCTCCCTGCGGAGCTATTACCCGAGATATTAAAAAAAATAAATCATCGATAAGAATTCGATTTCCGCACCGACCTCTATTTTGAATCCGAGGGGAGCTATGTCGTTTTGGAACGTCATATCTCCGCGCGGAGCTATGTCGTTTTGGAACGTCATATCTCCGCGCGGAGCTATGTCGTTTTGGAACGTCATATCTCCGCGCGGAGTTATGTCGTTTTGGAACGTCATATCTCCCCGCGGAGTTAGTACCCGAGATATTAAAAAAAAATCAGCGATAAAAATTCGATTTTCGCACCGACCTCGATTTTGAAAAAAAAAAAAGTGATGTAACCTCTTGCCATTTTGTCGATTTGGGTCAACATTTTGGATGTCCTTTTTTAATGCCAATCGATAGAACTGATCCTTACGAGTCAAAAATGGTAAAAAATTCCTAAATCGGACATTATTTGATCGAAATATTAAAAAAATATCATCGAAAAAGTTTCGATTTTCGCACCGACCTCTATTTTGAATCCCCGGGAGCTATGTCGTTTTGGAACGTCATATCTCCCCGCGGAGCTATGTCGTTTTGGAACGTCATATCTCCCCGCGGAGCTATTACCCGAGATATTAAAAAAAAAATCATCGATAAAAATTCGATTTTCGCACCGACCTCTATTTTGAGTCCGCGGGGAGCTATGTCGTTTTGGAACGTCATATCTCCGCGCGAAGCTATGTCGTTTTGGAACGTCACATCTCCGCGCGGAGCTATGTCGTTTTGGAACGTCACATCTCCGCGCGGAGCTATGTCGTTTTGGAACGTCATATCTCCTCGCGGAGTTATGTCGTTTTGGATAAAAATAAAAATTCGATTTTCGCACCGACCTCGATTTTGAAAAAAAAAAAAGTGATGTAACCTCTTGCCATTTTGTCGATTTGGGTCAAAATTTTGGATTTCCTTTTTTTTGATGCCAATCGATAGAACTGATCCTTACGAGTCAAAAATGGTAAAAAATTCATAAATCGGACATTATTTGACCGAAATATTAAAAAAATATCATCGAAAAAGTTTCGATTTTCGCACCGACCTCTATTTTGAATCCGCGGGAGCTATGTCGTTTTGGAACGTCATATCTCCCCGCGGAACTATTACCCGAAATATTAAAAAAAAAAAAATCATCGATAAAAATTCGATTTTCGCACCGACCTCTATTTTGAAAAAAAAACGTGATGATTTGGAAGATCATATCTCCGCGCGGAGCTATGTCGTTTTGGAACGTCATATCTCCGCGCGGAGCTATGTCATTTTGGAACGTCATATCTCCGCGCGGAGTTATGTCGTTTTGGAACGTCATATCTCCCCGCGGAGCTATTACCCGAGATATTAAAAAAAAAATCATCGATAAAAATTCGATTTTCGCACCGACCTCTATTTTGAATCCGCGGGGAGCTATGTCGTTTTGGAACGCCATATCTCCCCGCGGAGCTATTACCCGAAATATTAAAAAAATAAATCATCGATAAAAATTCGATTTTCGCACCGACCTCTATTTTGAATCCGCGGGGAGCTATGTCGTTTTGGAACGTCATATCTCCGCGCGGAGCTATGTCGTTTTGGAACGTCATATCTCCGCGCGGAGTTATTACCCGAGATATTAAAAAAAAATCAGCGATAAAAATTCGATTTTCGCACCGACCTCGATTTTGAAAAAAAAAAGTGATGTAACCTCTTGCCATTTTGTCGATTTGGGTCAAAATTTTGGATTTCCTTTTTTTTGATGCCAATCGATAGAACTGATCCTTACGAGTCAAAAATGGTATAAAATTCCTAAATCGCACATTATTTGACCGAAATATTAAAAAAATATCATCGAAAAAGTTTCGATTTTCGCACCGACCTCTATTTTGAATCCGCGGGAGCTATGTCGTTTTGGAACGTCATATCTCCCCGCGGAGTTATTACCCGAGATATTAAAAAAAATCATCGATAAAAATTCGATTTTCGCACCGACCACGATTTTGAAAAAAAAAGTGATGTAACTTGTCATTTTGTCGATTTGGGTCAAAATTTTGAATTAAGAACCTATGATTAAAAAAGGAACTTAAATAGCATTACAGAAAAAAATCGCAATAACCATGCTGTTAAAATGCGAAGAAGACGCGCATGAATGTGTGTTTGTACATGTATACAGAAATTCTTAAAGATGCTACTCTATTCAATTGCGCAGTTGCATAAACCTTTGGTTTTGTTTTTTTTTTTTACCAATCTTTATGAAATTTTCTACAGTATATCTTATTGTATCATAGAATATTGGTGTATACTGAAAAAGTCAATTGCATTTAAATTTTGGCTTAAATTGGACAAATACAATATACCCTTATACCCTTTTTTAATGGGTTCAGGGTATAAAAAGCATATTCCTTTTAGACAATGTGTGCGTTACTGTCGTCACATTTTGAAAGTTATTATTTTTGGCGAACAATCTCAGAGTTAACGTCCCAATAATTAGGAATAGTCAGATCCTCTGTTCCAAGCTGTAATTACACTGTGACAACAGTTTCAGACAACAGCCATTTTTTTTAAAATTATTTTTCCATATATGGCATATCATTCAGCACGAAGTTTGGGATTCAAGTATGCAATAAATCATTCTAAATTCAAGTGAACTGTTTTAGAAGACTTAAAAAATGCTAAGAGAGCTATTTATTGAATAAATTAAGGCTTGCATAATGGTATTGAGACAGGTAACTTAATGCAAGATCTTTCCGAGTTACATGGCCGAGTAAGCTCGAGACAATTCAATGAAGACGTGTGACCAGTATTCACACTTGTCGTGGTCTCTTACCAAATAAGCAGTCTGGGTCTAAGTCTGGGTCTGGGTCTCGGCTTTTTGTAAATTGAAGCATTTCCATTTGATAAGAGCGGCCGGTGGCGGCACGCATCTAAACAAAAAGATGACTCGATTATGTTGTGTCACTTTGTATTTTTGGATAGCGGCTAAAAGCAGAAATTCCGAACGTTGTCTTATTTTATTTATATTTTGTGTATATTTATTTATTTATTTATTATTGAAAAATTTCATTATAATTGGCATAATTTGAATGCGCTTTGGGGCGAGGGCTTTGTCGGTGGTTTGCGCGGCCGACGATCTGGCGTTTACTTAAGACCACATTTTATATGGCTAAAATGTTATGATTTATGCGCGCTGGCCACCTTGAAATAAGCCGATTGGATACAATAACCCACCAAATACCAAATACTTATTAGTCAGATGGCGGTTTTTTAAACTACTGTCTATATATATATATATATATATATATATATATATATATATATATCAATTAAGCCAGCTCTGTGGGTCAAGTGGCGCGGCCCAAACGAATGACTTAGAACACAAACTTCCTCAGCCTGGCCAATTAATGCAATGGCCTTGAATATCGCTTGCATAACCTTTCCTCCTCTATCGTTTTGGGTTTTTCTTTTGTTTCTTCTCCTTCTTCTTCTTCTTTTTTTTTTATGCATATTTAAAGATTAATAGCTGCCAGCCTGTGCGGTTCGGCTGCCAATCACAAAAAGGTCGCCCAGTTGATGTCCAGATATGGCCGCCGCTTCCACAATCCCATTAATTAAATGCAAATGCAAATAAATCTACAAGAGCTGCTTGCGAAGAAGCCAAATATATTAAAAGATATCAATGCATCTTGTATTTTTTTTTTGCTCACAATTTAATTATTTGCAAAATTTATGTAAATTTGGCTTATGTTGGGTGACGAACTTCGACGAACTACAAAGCCCCTGAGTTAAGTGCCGCCCAATTCGTTAAATTGTCATGAAGTATTTATATTAAAACTACCTGACGTAAAGTTTAAATAAAGAAGCTTGCTGGCTGTGATTATTTGTAATTATTTGTTAATTACTTATACTTATATAAAACTTATATAAAAATTTTACAAAATTCTAGTTAAAAAGTGTGTTGCCATTAGCTCTGCTCTGCTCTGCATATTTTGCTTTAATTTTTGGGGGCCTTAGCATATATCATAGTTTAGCTCCACGAGTTAGCCAAAACATCCAAAAGCGCGTCATTGTGCTCACATACAACCCAAAAGGAGGGAAGCTTCAGACTGTGGGTTGGTTAAGCAAACGGTCAGTCAGGAGAAACACATTTATATAAATATTCATTTGACATTAAGTTAATTTTTAAATTTGACTTTGAAATACAATTTAAGATCAAATATTTTAATCCTTTGCTATGCTGATTGTCCATATGCTCCGCACTGGCTTTAGCTGCTAATGTGCCTCGTTTGGCACAGGGTCAAAGCACTTTGCAAAAAGCGCAAAAAATAACTTCATTTCAAAAAAAAAATAAAAAAAATAAAAAAAAAAAAACACAACAGTTTGCAAAAAGTATGCGAAACATAAAAAGAAACACTTTGCGGCTATTGAGCTAAACCTTTTTTTTTATTTACGCGTTCGCTAAGTTTTATGACGAGTTTTGTGGCTGTTGCTGCTGTTGTTGTTTCTATGTTTGGATTATTGGGGTTTTATTTTAATCGGTATTGTCTACATTTTGAACGCTTATCAGTTTTATGCAAATGCTGCTACCCGGCAATGTTAATAAGCTACTTAGTGGTGCGCATGGGTCGATCGTTAATTCGACACCACCCAAACGCCAGCAGCACCGCCGATCTTCAAAGAAAACGCGCCGTGGGTCGCTGATAGTCGTAGCCATCAGTAGCAGCAACTTGCTTGGCTGCATCTAGGGCGCCAATTACGGATTGCACTGGCGCCACATAAGGCGCCGCAAGCTCTGTATTGCCGCCCAGTTGGTCGTATTGCGTTTGAATTTCGCGCTGAGCGGCGGCCGCCTCCTCGTTGGTCTTGTACCTGATGAAGAAGACTTCCGGCTTGTCTGACGACGACTGCTGATGCTGCCTGGGCGTCTGAATGTCGTGCGCCTCCAGCTCTGGCTGTTTGCGACTCAGCACATAGATGACCGTGCGCTCCTCCTGCGGCGCCAGTTCGGCCGTGTACTTCACAGCCTCGCTCTGAGCGCTGGGTGCACGTATGAAGATCACACGATAGTTGCGCATCGCACGTCCTATTAGCAGGTGCTTTGTGCGTGGCTGCAGCTCCTCCGAATCCTCAGCTGCAGATACGCTATAAAACTGTTTGGTAATGATTGGAGCTGGTGTCGCAAAGCTTTCACCTGCCGCCGGTGGCAGATAGAAACGCGTCGGCACATGAGCCTGGCTCAAGCTCAAAAGCGCTACCGAACCGAGAAAAATGAACACGCTAAACATGTCGGTGATGGATGCCACAAAATGTGTGAGGCAGCCGACAGCGATATTTTAGTTTTATATATTTTTGTAACGTGGAGAACCCTAAAATTTTGCACAGATTTCTGGCCCAATTAGTAGCTGCAAAACAAAAGACTTAGGCAACAAACTTGCTGCAAATTAATTGTGCGTTTGAATGAAAACAAAAGAGCCGTTAACAACCAAATCATTACCACATCATTTAGTGCTAAGATCTTTAGATAATTTTCGTAATATGCACACGAATACTGTTAAAGCATGGCTCGAATTGGGCCTTAAACTAAGCGAAACTTAGCTGCATGGAAATCTTATTTCAGCTGCACTTTTTTGTAAATAGTTTCGATTTGCTTGGACACGTTTTTAGCTGCATATTGCTTAACTGATCTTGTTATAGATTCGCCTCATTTCAGGCGAATCATTTATCTTTTATCGTTGACCAAAACTCATGTAGCCATTGTTCACAGCATCATTCAACGCCCGCGCACAGTTTTTATTGTTTGACTAATGGGCTTGTGCACAGCTAGTGTGATCTAATCTACGCTTACGTATGCTCAATTCACAGCCTTTGCATTTGTTCAAATGTTGAATTTTTTAATTCTTGGTTTTTTGTTTTATTTTTAGTTTTTGGTGCGTTTCGCAGCCTCGCGGCTGATTAGTAGATTAATTCGTTTTGGTTTGGCTGCGTTGTCAACGGGTCGAGACAATTAAAATATCAACAGCGATATTTTTTTTTATTTTATTCGATTTTATTTTTATTTTTTGAGAATTCGACTATTTGGCGGCTCCCAGCCGCAGTAGGCTTGACATCAATTTTGATTGCGGCTTCGATTCAGGCCTCGATGCGCAACGATTTGCATAAATTGACGCGTAATTCCCACACTTTCGTGTCCCATTGGCTAAAATGATACTGCCAATTTGATTGATGGGCTGTTTTATAAAAAATAAAAATATGCTGCTATCACTAGGCTTAACCATTGCATACTAATAAACATGTGGAGAGTCTCGTCTTTGCTTAAAGGGATCTCGTGTGTTTTGCTGAACACAATTCTTCAATTGAATGTCTGTCGAAAGGATAGTTCTGTAAAATTTGAACAATCACACCAAAAAAAAACACAATTCAACTAACAAACATGTGAGTGGGAACATGAGAGTTGGCCATGGATAAATTTAGACCTTACTTGAATCTTTATCGATATTCATTGCCTGATAAGGCTGCAAATATTTTTGAATAGAAGCAATGGCAGTCCCTTTTCTACATTTATTGTTTACTATGAATCGAACCTTGAATCAGCCCAGTTGACCAAAAAACCTAAAAGCCAAAGCGAAACCCAATACAAATCTTATTTTCGTTAAATATGCTGTGGTTCAGCCTAAGGGAGACCCAGTCGAAATATATAAATAGCTTAAAAATATCTATAAGATATATCCATCTGATGAATACCCATTTTGTAAAAAGAATGTTGAATAGCTTCATTAAAATGGACATTCATAAATAAACAAATGGGTTTGAATGCAATAAAAACCTAGATTCAAGCAGGTGAAAAGCTAGCCTTAAAACCCGAACCTGTAGGCAATTTTTCTTTATATTTATCTATATCTATATCCATCTATATCTATAGCTATACCTATATCTTTTACCATGTCTATATCTATCTATATCTATATCTGCCTCTTGTGTATTTCTGATGCGTATTTCTGATGTGTATTTCTGGTCTTTGTATCGTGCACTCAAATACTTGACTTTTGACAGTTCAGATGCCCTTCTATATATTCCCTTAGTAGTTTTTTTGACACAAGCCGCGGCATGTTGTTTCCCTCGTCGACTTCGTATTTTGTCATGCGGCGTCAGTTTAACGATCGGTCGAAGAAAAGATGCGCTGTTTGATTCAATTATAATTAAATTTGATGTGCTTATTTTGATTTCTCACTTCATTTAAGCTAATTTTGAGCTATTTCGGGCGCCGGGCGCTTTGTTGACTGTCGCATTTTAGACGTTTGAATTGTTGATTTGCATTTGAGAGTTTTGCTGTGGGCCGGCTTTGGACCTTTTTTCTAGCCGCTTTGCTTGATTTGAGCAACATTTCAATTTATTTATGGCATTTTTATTAATTTTTTAAATGGCATTTTATAGCGCGGAAACTACGCGACCTTACCAAAAAGAAGCATCTCTTTAAAAAAAACGTTGCGTACTTTTTAAATATACAGTTCGTTCATTTATTTATATTTTTTTTCTTTTTAAAAACAAAAAACAATAACAAAAAAAAAATTCAAGCAAAAAAAAAGGTGCTTAAAACTAAACAACACAATAACAAGTTCGTTGGAGTAAAGGACTGAAGTGGGGGGGGATGTGGGCGGGGCAGAAAACTGTTTGTAGATCCTTTCTAACTATCGTTCAGCTTAAAGGTTAAGCGCACTGGGCAGATACTGGGCACTGGGCTGGGCGTTCGGGCGATTGATCTGGCGATAGTTGTAGCTACCATCGGGATTGAGGCCATCGAGGCTGCCGATAACGGAGGTGATGGGCGCATTGTTATCCTCCTGGAACTCGTTGGTGCCGCCCAATTTGTCGTACTGGCCTTGAATCTCCTTCTGTGCCTGGTTGGCCTCGTCGTCGGTCTTGTATTTAATGAAGAACACCTCCGGCTTGCTGGGCTGTGTGGGCGCGGGCGTTGCAATATCTCCAGCATCCAGATCGTTATCCTTCTTGCTCAGCACATAGATGACAGTCTTCTCCTCCTGTGGCGCAAACTCGGCCGAGTATTTCACGTTGGCATTGTCGCCAGCCGGCGCCTTGATGAACACCACGCGGTAGTTCTTCTGAGGCCTGCCGAGCACCAAATGCTTCACTTTGCCATCATTGCTGCGATCCTCCGGCGCAGACACCAAATAGAACTTCTTATTGATGATGGGCGCTGGCGTCGTGCTGGCAGGTGGCAAATACTTGTCGCCGCCGCGATGTGGCACCGGCAGCTGACCCACGAACTGCCCGCCGGCATTGGGCAATCCAACGCCGCCACCGCCGCCCACTAGCAAATCGCCAGGCTGCGGCTGCTCATAGCCGTATTGAGGACGGGCCTGGGCCACGACCAGTAGAGCGGCGACACAGCCGAGCACAATTGGAGCCGTTATGGAATGCATTCTTAAATGTTTCGTATTAGTTATCCTTGGGTAATCCTGCTGCGAGTGTTGCTAATGCGGATATATATGGATATTTGGTATCGCGTCGCGTTCGTTTGAGCACGTTTAGGTTTGGATTGCTTTGGGGCAATGCTTGCATTTCTTGTCGCTCCACTTGACTTATATGCGCTGCCGCTTCCCAGATCGGCTGCCGGCTGCGCTGTCGGCGCATTCATTTGGCTTGAATTGTTGTTGTAATTTATGTAAATCAGACAGCGCAGCTTGGCTGGCCAAGCAATAACAATTTAACATTCAAGACTCAAACTTTCAAGATAGGCTCAAGCATCGAATGCTATCCAAAAATTTATTCAAATCTCTTGCATGCACAAATGTATCTCACAGATGCGCCGCCTCTGCCAGTTGACTCAGCAGCACACTTTAAATGGGGCGTGGCTGATTCTTGTATGCGCCGCGTAGCCATGGTATACATTTTTAAAAAAAGCTCATAGATCTCTATAACAATAGCCGCTTGTTTCTTTATGTTCAGTTCGTATCTGTTTTCTGTATACATACATATATCTATATATTCATACATCTGGGCTTGTATATATATTTTGGCAGCTTAGGCATTGAACTTGACTGTTGCGCTGGCCTCTATTGTAAGCTTAGATTATTAATAGACCCGCAATATACAGAAAATTTGCCAGGTTTGTAGGCTTTGCTGAATGTTTGCATCTAATTAAACGGCACCTGAACATGACAACTCTTAGTCTTGCGACTCTAGGCCTCTATTTTACCACCAAACAATCGGCCAAATTTGTGAGACGAAACTAGTTTGCTGGGTTTTTCTTTGCCCTAGAGCGATGCTGGCCTGCCCATCACAAAGTTGATCGAATTGCAAATTTGAAAGATTTAAAAGATGATTTTATATGAATGACACGATATGATTGTGATATCTATATAATATATATAGTAGCCATATCTCAGACTACCTAACTAGAAACAATTCCTATAACTATTTTCCATAGTTTAACATTTCATAAATAATCTCCAAGTCGCCAAACTAGCCTATTTATATTATATATAAGTGATATATATAAAAAATTACTATAATAAACTATTTTTATGGATATGTTTTATTTATGCTAAATTTTCAATTTATATCCGGGCCCAATAAGCTTTAAAGGATATGCAAATAAATATTTTTTTCTTAGAAACATGTTTGTTTTTGTAAGGGTTGCGGTACGTGGCAACAGTTGCAGGGTGGCAACCCTGCAATTGGGTCATATAGGAAAGTATTCTAATTATCAAATTAAACTGAATGCGTACATAGACTGGAAACAGGGGAGAGGAATAACAAAGTTGGATTTGAAAACATTTTCATAAAGAAGTATATGAAGATAATTTAACCAAACCGATTTGCGCCCAGAATTTGAATTTACTTTAACTGATAACCGATATCTGAGAAAAATATATATTGAGATAAAAATAGCTCATAAATTGGATATATCTAGCCATATTTGGTAGATCCCAATTTTGGCTAGAATTCAAATTTAGCCCGCATTTTGTATATGAAAATAGTTGTGGCTTTCAATATTTTCAGTACAACGGGCAGGGGGATATTTAAAATTCAAAAAATATATGAAAAATCTTGTATTCAAAAAGATTCATTCAAAAAAATCTATAGCCATATTCATATAAGTCTCCTGATAAAAACTTTATTTCTTGTTCGACTGTAAATTCTGTTGTGTGGAAAAGTCTTGTTTGTTTGTGAACCTTTAGCTAGTTATTGTGGCAAGTTGAACAATCGATATGGGCTTATAATGGACTATATTAAGCATTGTTTTTTTTTGGGTTTTCCAAAGCAAGCATAGCATGTCCAATTATGTTTATTCTTCAGCTCTTGTTGTTGAGCATTGCCTTATATGGTGGCCTCCTAAAGCACTCGGCAACAACAGAAATAAAGACACATTTAGTTGATGAGTCAGGCGTCTAGGCGAGTGCGACACATTCACCTGGCCTGCCTTGGAGGTCGCCACAAAGAGTCGCCATATAAACGCATAAAAAAACATAATATTTGGGTAAATGTGGAAGCTCGATTGATTTGCATTTGGCGAACCGATTTATGAGCTCACCGCCCAGCTGATCGCGTGATTGATGTTTGATAATTGATGACTGCTGCTGATTGATAAGCGCACATAAAACTGCCTATCGCCGGCGAACAGTGAATGTCAGCTAAGATCGAAAGATTGAGACAGATCTATCGGCCGATCCACTAATTTAGTTATACGCAGCCAGACCAAAAGCGAACAAAACGATAATTATCAATTAGGCATTCCATATTCATAATTCCATATCTCTTCGTCGATGCGGCCGGCCGATCAAGCTCAGACATAAAAAGCCTCTGCAAATAATTTATGTAACATTTTATGAATGCTGACAGTAAAAACCGAGGGACAAATGTGCGACGCGACGCGACTCGCCTCGCCTCAACTCATCTCGAGTCGACTCAACGCGACTGGCAACAGATCGTATCGTTTATTTAGTAGGTGTGATTATCTTTATGCAAAGATCGCGACGCATTAATATGCAGATGCTTTTCAGATACAAGATATAGATATTGATGCAGATACCAAATCACATAGGCCAAATACCAGGTAGCATCGGCTGGCGTTGTAATCCATATATTTGATCATAAATTTTTCGTTGCCGTCGCATTTGGGGCGCTTGACGCGGGGCGTGGCACCTAGCTGGCTTTTATAATATATATGTATATGGTATTTATAAATATATATATATATATATAAATGTGTCTATATAATACTTTCTGGTATTTTAATGCGTTGGATTGGCGAATCGACCTTGCAGCGCGTTGCTCTCCGATTTGATTTTGATTCGACTTTGTTTTTTCCTATTTTGTTATTTTTCTTCTTTTTTTTTTATATTAAGACGCTAATTTATTTGCCATCGATTTCGGTTGGTGGTCGGCTCAGTTTTCTAAAGTTTTATTCGTTTGATGTTGCAGTATGAACAATTATGAAGAGCTTGCCAAACACTAGCCCTGGTTGGTAGAACGAACGGGCAGGGCGGCGGCATAGGGTATTTAGGCGCCAGCTGGTGCAAGGCACAACCAATTATTATTAAATTGAAAATTGTCCTAAAACGTTATATTTTCTATTATCAAATGGCAGCTGCTTTTAAACATGATTTGACTTTCAAATCTGATGTGGATATTTTCACCAAACTATTTGCTGCTTATATAATTTTGTATCTTTTTGTTGCATCATTTTAAATGTGTCACTTACCCAACGATTCCTTGAGGCTTCCCAAGGTTTTCTCTTTTCTGCCCACTTCTTTGCAATCCCATTCCTTGAGTCGCTACAAAGGAAAACTTCAAATGATTTTTACATTTTTTGAATGCTTAAAGAAATCCTTAAATTTTATTAAAAAAAAAAAAGTTGTGGAAAAAAAATATATAGTTTTTGTTTTTTGCATAGATCGCAAAAATATCTAAAATGAATATCGCAAGAGTTACATTTAACAAATTCTAGGAAAATAATCGCTTTGGATTATTCAATTAGAAGCAAGAATCGGGCGAGCGTGCGTTTTGTGTGTGTGTATGTGTGTTTGTGTGTTCTGTCCAATCAGCTGGGTTGTCGGTGAAAGGATGCAATTGACGAGATCGCATGCTTAGTACTTGACCGATCTGATGGGCTTGGAGGGCAGATAGGAGGTCTGAATAACATTGTTACCGACAAGGCTGCCACTGTCCACCTGCGTCGTGGTCTGGCTGCCGGAGCTGCTGCTGCCGTTCACATCGTACTGGAGATTGATGCCGGAGCTGTCGACGCCGCCGCTGACAGTGTTCTCGACCACTGGAGCACCGCCAGTGCCAATAATGTTGACGTGACCGGAGCCATCGGCCAGAACACCAGAGGCGCCATTGTCGCCCAAGGCGTTGATGACCGATGAGACGGGCACAATGCCTTCATTGCTGAGCTCCGAGCTGCCGCCCAAAGCGTCATAGTTGGCTAAAGGTGCGAGAGAGATCGAGAGAGAGAGAGAGAGAGGGGGGGATATATTTAAATGTGACATCTACTGGGGCTGCAGCTGCTTGGACCTACCCTGGATGGTCTGCTGGGCATGTGCGGCCTCCTCGGGTGTCTTGTACTTGATGAAGTAAACTTCGGGCTTGTGGTTGGCTGGACGCTGTGTGACCACCTCGGCGCTGACATCGAGGGCGTTCGATTTCTTGGACAGCACATAGATGGCGGTCTTGTCCTCAACTGGAGCCACGTTGGCAATGATCTTGGCCTTGCTGGTGGTGGATGCGGGCGCATTGATGAACACCACACGATAGTTCTTCTGTGGCCTGCCAACATTCACATAGCGCACAATCTGCTGGTCATCGTGATCCTCGGGTGCGGTGTGCAGATAGAAGTGTTTGCTAATGATCGGTGGCTGGAAGTTGGCCAAATGGCTGATGTACGCCTCCTGTTCCTTATAGTTGATAGTGGGACCCGGATGGATGCCAGTCAGACCAATATGATCATTCACAACGCCGACGCCGCCGCCGTTTGAGAAGGAGGTGCTGATGCTGCTGCTTCCACCACCACCGCCACCGCTGCCGCCGCTGCTGGTGGTGTAGGGGTTGCTGCCACTGTACTGAACGCCGTTCACCTGGGTGGAGGGCACAAAGCCAGAGCTGCCCACAACTGTCAGCTGACCCACGGTGGGCACATTGTTGTAGTAGGTATTGCCCGATGCCGTTGGCTGATACGAGGTAGTTGTGCTGATCACCGGTGGGGACACGATGCCAGTGTTGACAACGTTGTCGTTCTGGCCAATCTCGTAACGGTAGGCCTGACGGCTGAGATCAGGACGCGCCGCTGCCCAGCGACTGCAGCCGAGCACTGCCAAGCAGGCCAAAAACTGCAAGCGGATTACAATTCATCATCAGATCCGATTAGATTAGATTCCATTCCAGATCTGCTCCGTTCAGCTCAGCTCACGTTCACTTACCATAAATTTGTTCATGCTGTTTACACAAGGAACGCGTCTGGACTCGATTGTACTTTAGCGCTGGAGCTGCTGCACTGGATTGATGCCCTGTTTGGCAACGGCGTTCAGTTTTTATAGAGAGTGTCGCTAGACTGGGGCGACTTTAATTGAAGTTAATTAATTTGCTCGCATTGATTTGCAATAAATTGTTAAAATCAAATATAACTATAACACATCACAAATCCGGCTAGCACGGACCTGGGGAATTAGATTTTAGTTTTTCGCCTCGCAGGCGCTAATTAATACCGCAAACACAGCTGACACAATCGATCCCAATGTGTGTGTCCAAGAGTGCCTCCAACTGCCGTCATCAGCTGGCAGATGCCACTTGGCCATGCCCGAAGCTGACAAGCGCGGAAAGCACCTCTCCAACGGGCCGATCGAGACTTGAATTTAAGCCGTAAAGTTCTTTGTCCATGAAATCTCTCAATGTAACAAATGGATCATTTTAGGGCTGTGTGAAGTGCTCGAAATACGAGATAATTTCATAAAAACATAAAAACTAACATATTTGAATATTTGGATGGACGGATAGTTGCATGAATCAAATAAAAAACATCTGAAAAGCGATCATATATAAGGAATACTTTTTAAACACATAAACTTGCACTTCATTGTGTTAATTGTGGTTTACCCATTGAAACTGAAGAGATTTATTTAGCTATGATTCTATGATTGAAAGTTTTTCTTTTTTGATAAACCAAGATTTGAACCGAAGCCTGCATTCGGCAAGCCAAGTTCACGAATAGAATCTTAAGGCAGGAAGCTGGTTCAAACCATGAACCCATCGGCAATTTGTTATGGGTCGTATAGCCGTAAATATTAATAAAATTATTAAAATAAATATGGTCGCATTTAAGAAACATATCGCTTAAAGCTTCTCATGCAACTTCAAATTCTCATTTAATCCGAACCGCTTTAAGATACTTGTTGTATGAAGAATACAATGTTTATTTCTGTTTCCTGTATGGTTGTTCATGTAGCTTAATTCTTAGTTGGCGCATAGTTGAATATTCCTGAAATAGTTCGTTTGGCTTTTTATTTTATAGAGCATACAAATGTCGTTACTGTGTGATTGTTTTATTTTTTTTTATGACTGCATGACTGAAGTGGTCTGAGATTTCCAAGACGTTGCAGCCAAACATTTTAGCGCTTTTAATTGTTATAAACCCAAAAATACACATACACACGCACACAGACATGGACACGTATGCATAAGATATTTATTTGAGTGATCGAAATAAACTAATATGTATATGCACATGGTGCTGTCATAAGTTTTGCCAAATTTCATATCTTTTGCTTCTGTGGAATTTCATTAGCCCCACCGCAAGCCCCTCGCTCTACAACCCCCCCCCCCCCCCCCCCCCCCCCCCCCCTTGTAGGGGTAGCGGTGCGATGGGTCATTCCTCCGCATACTGAATTACCGAATCATACTAATTGCCACTCTCGACTCAACCACCCTTTCCCCCTTTTCCCTTTCAGGTGGCTGGCAAGCATTTTCGGCAACAAATCGGCTGCAAAACTGGGAGTACAAGAGCGCCCTGAAGCTTCTGCAGGCCAAGTTCGGCATCTTTCCCTACTATCGCGTTAGCGTGGAGAACAGCTATAACATGCCCTACGACTACATAATAACCCTGGACGAGGGCCAGCTGGGACTGCCGGACAAGTACTTCTATGGCCCCGATGCCGACGAGGAGGTGGTGCGCGGCTATAAGCTGCTCCTGCGCGACTTTGCCATCAACATGGGTAAGCGAATGCGGCTTGATCTGCCCATCTGTCAATCTGCAGTTCAATTCATTCACGTTTTCCCTTCCCTCACAGGCATGGTGTCGCGCGAAGCGGATCTATTTGCGGATGACATCTTCTATTACGAGCGCCGCATTGTCAATCACATTGATGCCGCCAAGGGTAGCGGCGAGCGTCAGCAGAACAAGCTGCTCCGGCTGGCCGAGCTCAAGAGCATAGCGCCATCGGTAAGGCAACTGCGGCGACAGCGGGAGCAACCGCTCACTGTGATTTCCCAATTACTATCAAAAAAACTAGTTTCAAATTAAGTTGGCAGCATACTAATTAATTTGTGGATAGCACTTTGGCATATTAGAAAACAAATATCAGAAAGCAGAAAGTTCTCTCACCTTGAAGCGAAACGGGTTTAAAGCATACGTAACATACGTGCACGTTGGACACCAACCGAACCCAATGGCAGACAGACAGCTGCCTCGAATCCTTAACCGAAGTACCGTGATATATTATGCTTTAGAAAAATAATTAAATATGTAATGCTGTTCAGAATTGGGCCTTAAGAGACTTCAAAGAATCAATGAGTACAGATTTATGCCACGATTATCATTTACAGTAGTACAAAAACTGTACAAATATATATCATGATTCTAAAAGATGATGATACATGATTTTAATGCCATATTGAGCGAAAGACAGGCTTTAAGTCAAACCCAAAGAATCACAGTTTTATAACAGACTCACTGATTTTATAAAATGTTAATAAGAATGCTAAAAAGAGTCTCCCAAAAGTCAGAGAGTGTGGGAAGGGCTTGCTTAGTGAGCAAGAAATTACTGCAACTCCTAAAGGGAACATTCGGCTTCCTCCTAGCAAAGTCTACTCTCATATCATATTAGACTGTATCCTTTATGCGACTGAAAATTCATATTTTCACAAGGATCAATATTCAAGGGATAAATAACAATATAATAAAATAAATAAGACTGTTAAGTCATTTTAAAATATAGAGCTACGTTTCAATACACCTTATCCAATGCACAATAAATAATATTTCTGTCACTGAATACAAAGCGAGGCCTATTTAATAAAAAATAGGAATATTGTAATTTACATCATAAAGTATATATATGTATTCCTATATTCGTCCGACCAAACCCAAACCGACTATTCTCCTCAGCGGACTGTAAGTAGGCAAAGATCGGAACTATTGAATGAACCAATGTTTTGTTAAGATATCTTGAACATATCGTAATTTGCTGCATAGGTGTAGGGTATAGATATACTTATATTTGTAGATATATTTCTTAAAACAACGTTTCGTTTTGCCACAGCTCCCCATTTTGGAATCCCTGCAGGCCATTTTTACCAACATAAGGATCACTGAGGAGACGGAAGTGCTGGTGCGCGACGTGGAAGTATTTCACGAGCTGTCGACGCTCATCTCGACCTCAGACAAAAAGTGAATTGAGCGTAAGGTTCAAAAATAAAATAGATTGATAATACTTTGTTTTGTTTTCGCGCAGACCCATTAACAACTTTATAATTTGGTCGCTGGCGCGTGAAATGCTGCCGCATCTCTCCAAGGAGTACCGCACGCTGGCGGAACACTTTGATCATACCATCTATGGGCGCACGGCCAGCTATCCGCGTTGGCTCTTCTGCAGCCGGGTGGTGCGTGACTGGGTGCCCTTTGCGGTCGACGCACTGCAGCAGCAGCCGCCCAAGCAGCAGTTTGAGGCAGCGTCCCATAGCCGCATGAGCGATGTCAACGGCGGGCTTAACAAGACGATTGGCAACGAGAAGTTCCTGCAGCTTATGTTCTACAGTTTGCGCAACCAGCTACAGGATTCGCTGGCGCAGGCGAGTTGGCTAGAGCCGACAGCCCGGCGATTTCTGCACAAGAAGCTAGCCGAAATGCGGCTACAGTTCGGCATACCCAGCGAGGTGCTCGAGCAGCCCGACTACATTAGCAACTACTACAATGATCTGCTGCTGAGCAATTTGAATTTCGTGGAGCACCTGGAGTCCATTTGGACATTTCGCCGATCGCGCATGGAGAACAAGCTAAAGCCCTTGGGCATGCTGGATGTGTAAGTGACTTAAGTGACCAATAATAATTAGATCGACCAAACGATTTATCAATTTCCTCGCTTTCTTTGCCAGCATTGTGTCCGAGATGTACACGCGGGATAATCCGCAGCCCATTGCCTACTCGAACAAGCTGAATATGTTGCTCATCTCGCGAGTGCTGGTCAGCAACAACTACTACGACTATCGCTATCCCGTGTATGTGTATTCCCGACCAATCTGTTTTGTGTATCTCTCTAATCCCTGCCTCATTCACTATTTTTGCAGCGCTGTTAACTTCGCGCGCATCGGCACGGACATCCTAGAGACGTTGATCAACAATTTCCCCACCTTTCTGCTGCAGTTCAATGCCCAGAGCACGGATCTAAGCGATGCTGTGCCAGAAATTGAATACGCCCAGCCGGATGTAAGCTGCCTGTCAGCCGGACAGCCGCCACGTCTCGCTCATGAGCTGCGCAGCTTCTCGCCGGAAGCCCTTAAGAGCTTCCATGTCACGCTAAGCGCTGCTCGCACCGCGGCTCGAGCGTTGACCAGCTTTGTGACGGCCATCGATGCTGGCAGCGCCATCCAGGGCGCTGGCATCGATCAGGCGGTCACCTATGAGGCGCTGGGACTCACCCGGCGGCTGCGAGTGCCCGGCCTGCGTTCCTACAACGAAAACGAGCTCTTCACGCTGGCGTACATGCAGCAGCATTGCAGTACAACGATTGCGGACAAGGACTATGCGCGCATCAAGCCGCATGTGGAGCGCCAGTTGGCCGAGCGCTATCTGTAAGTACTCTTAGGGACTCGACTATCAGATCAGCTCTCTTATGTCTCCCCCTTTCTCCCTCTCTCTTTTGTTTTTGTCTCTTTCTTTTTGGTGCAGCTTCAACGCCACCTGGCAGCACATACAATTCCTGCCGCGCTCTACGAACTGTGCCGCCTCGGAGGTCAGCTGCTCCAATTTGCTGTGAGGACATCTCTCTGTGGCTAGTGTGTACGATTCCTTAGTTCGGCCAACATATTTATTGTACTTTTTTTTTGAGTAAACCACACACACACAAACACACATAGATATACGCTCACAGGCGGACACACAAATCACACTAAACTTAGTCTGTAATTAAGCTATAAACCTAGTTTATGTGTTATAAGTAGTATTACTTTAAAAAAACATTTGTAACACACACAACCACTGTTGACATCACACATACACACACACACACACATGCATATGAATAATTGTGTGTACTCTGCAATTGCGACAATTTGTTTAATTTACAAGTTGAACTACACTTAAAGCACGTTTGCCTGCTCGACAACATATTCCATAGTTCAATAGTGTGTAATTTGTAGTCCTAGTTAGTGGCTAAGTGCATTGACGATTCCTGTATAAATTGAATTTAATTTCCATACGTTTTTTACAAAGCAATAAAAAACAATACGAATTTTCATATGACACTTGCTGTGAATTATTGCATAATTTTGGGCTACTTTTTGGGTGTAAATTGCACACAATTGTGTGCTTTTGGGATGTTGGATAAGCTTCAATGATACTCTACTCTATTCTATTCACATACTCTATAATTTATCAGCTACAGAGCTGGACACAGCTGCATTTCTCTCAGCTGCGTTACCTACCTATGTGTTTTAACATATTTCAAATCTATTTAAACAGTTTTCGAAACTTAACGTAACATATCGAAGGTATACTTTTAGAGGAGAATTTAAGATTGTATCGAATAGGTATTATATATTTCTATCCAGTCAGCAAATTTAGAGCCTATTTTATTTTAAATTGTTAAAGATGATGTTTAGTATTTGTACATATCAAGGCTGTAAATAAAATTTTGTTTTGTGTACAGAACCCCAGACCCAATCCGAAGCGAATGTTTTTCAAATTAGAGACTGAGCCTTAAAGCTTAAATAACTAGGGGCCCCAGCCATTATCTAATTAGATTAGATATATCTAATAACTATACTTAGTGGATACCCATTTTGGGTAAAGATGTAATTTAGCCAGTATTTTGTATATGAAAATATCTACGGCTTGAAATATTTTCAGTACAACGGGCAGTTATTAATTTAAAAATGAATTGATTCATACAAAAATTGGGTTCAGGGATGTGAAAAACCAGGTTCACGAACCGAATTTTAACGCAGGAAGCTGGTAAATGTATTAGGTAATTGGACAAAGAAAAAGTCATATTTATTTATGGCATTTACACCCTATTTAGTCCCGGGCACAAACGCAAATTTGGATATATATATATGTGTATATAACTATATACATTTGGTGCACGTACAATTTGTTGATTACCAGAGGTCCAACTAACGCATCCTGACATGGATTGGGACTGAATCCGAGCGATACTTGCAATTTGCATTAGCTATCTGGAGCTAGATGTCAATGGATATCAGTTGGTTTGTTTGGCCAGGCGCGCATCATTGTCCACAAAGTCCTTGAGAAAGTTGGCAATGCTCCGATGAAGTTCGGTGTCTATGTTCGCCGTGAGCTGCCCGATTAGGGTTTTGGTAATGCTGCGTAGAGAGTTGGAGGGAATGAGTTGAGAGGGAATTACTGGCAGGGGCACTAGAAAGCGAAGGGCAGTTACTTGGAAAACAATGTCCAGGGTGTCAGGCACTTGGGACTGCCGTACAGGCTGCTGCGCTGGCACTGCATTTGGAACTGTTGGCGTTGCTTTAGCGAGTCGCCCAGCTCATCTTCATCATCGACATCATTCTCATGCTCCTCAGTGGGTTCTACAGCAGCTGCGGGACGTGGCGTCACATCATCGTCTTCCTCTTCGTCTGGTTCCTGATCAGCGTCCGGAGTTGCTTCGTTGTGGAGGTCTATGTGCAGTTCGAAGACATCGCTGTCGCCAATATCATAGATGTTACTGCAGACCGCGACTTTGTTGTTCTCTTCGGCTTGCTGGCGCAACTGCAGCGGAGGATGCTGCTGGCGCTGCCGTATGGCGTCCCTTTTGGCCTGCTCCTCTTTCTGGCGCTTTATAAGTTTGGCCTTCTTCAGCATGCGCTTGGTTACCTGATGCTCTGTCCGCCTGTGCTCGACGATACGATGGCGGGCACGCCACTCGCTCACCTGCTGCTTCTGTCGATCGAGCTCGATCCGCTCATCCATCGCTTTCTGCTGGCGTGCTTGCTGCTCGGGCGGCATTGTTGCCAGTGGGGCGCGCTGCAGCTCCGATTCTATGAAGTCGAGCACATGCTTCTCATCCTTGAGCTCCTCCTCAAGCGTCTTGGATAAGAAGAACTTGCCGTTCGGGGAACGCAGTATCTTTACCTCCTTGTAGCGCAGGTCGTCCGGCTGTAGCTGCTGATGCAGCCTCTGGCGCTCCTTCAGATAGCGATGACCCGCCCAAAACCGCTCCGAATACGGTGACTTTCCTGGCGTCAGAGCCAGCGGCCTACGGAGTGCAAGGACGGAGAGGGAGGAAGGGCAACCATTAGAATTGGCGCTAATAAATCAAACCCGTCGAAGTCCAAATTTCATCGCTTGCCATTTGGATGATTAGCACAACCCAAAAGCCGGCTAATTGCATCAGCCTGGCACGCGGCTGGCGTCACAGTTTCGCATGGGGCTGCCCACATGCCCCGACGGGCTTTATTGAGTTTCATATGGGCCGGCGACACGCGATTCCTTCCCTGCGAGCTGCACACACGTCCCGCGCGAGCCTCAAGGCCAATGTCAAAAAATAGCTGAGCGTTTCGATACCCTACACATGCGCCGGCACTCTCAGCTAGACAAACGATTTGCGCAGACCCACCACAAAAGTTATAGCTAGATATTTAATTCAATCATCGCGTCGAACCGATTTTCAACTAACCCAAGCCCAGAATATTGGTTTTTTATTTAATACGAAGTGAACCTTTTTCAAGATGAGAATGTTGGATAGCAAACAGCCGAAGCCAAGCGTGAAACGAACCGCTTATTGTAAACATTTTAGTTAAAAAATGTTTCCGTTCAAAACCAAAGTTCTTTGCTCCTTAAAAATAACATAAACAAGTTTTGATAGATGAAATTATTTACATATATATATTAAATTAAACTATTGACGCTAAGAAATGTGAGAGCCAAGTTTCGAACCAAAAGTTTTGTGCATAGATATGGATAACTAGGCTTACGAATCGAACAATAAGGTGGAGCACTGATTCGAATCGCGAAACGACAAATTTGTTTGGGTTTACAGTCTTGATTACAATCTTATCAGCTTAAAGGCAAATCGAACAGTTTTCAACGAGTGGCATAAGATTACCAATAATTTATTCGACCTAAACACGCCAGCAGCCCAACAATAATATTTTGCATTCGTATTATTCTTAGCTAGAACATAATTTTGAATTTAATTCCCAGATCAATAGATCCCTGCTCTATAACCTAGTTTCTCCCTCAACTCAAATTTGTGATCGAAGTGTTAAATAATGATTACCATTTTGCATAACAGCACTCTAGAGTCATGAAATGCTCCTGTCGTCCGATTCATATATTTACCAGAGATTCTTCAAATATAAGTTTTCCAATCTTATCGAAATCTATATCTAGTCAACAATATATGATATGCCTTGCCTGGGCTCAGTGAGTGAATGAATGGAACTTGACTGTCTGCTAGCGCATGCGGAATCCACATGGGTCTGGGTCATTGGGGTTAAGGCTGTCATGCTAATGACAATCGAATCCCAGTACACTCCCCCCGCCTCACCCCGTGCAGCAGCCCCGTGACAGTGCACGCAAATAACATGACACAATCAAACTGGGCGAACGGAGGAGCCGCCAACCGTCGAAGAGTTCATTAATAAACACCGCGAGTTGCGTCGTTCGATGAGGCAACCTTAGGAACGGCCGCCTAGGGAGCGGGCAGCGCTGACTGAGGGGCGCAAATTTATTGATCAAACAAATAAAGCGCATCAGCAGCAGCAGCAACAAATAAAACACAACAGTGACAAAGCCAAAGCATAGTCGTTGGCTCCGACACGTTACCCACGCCCCGCTAGAGCTGGAGCTGGAACCCGGCCGGTTTGGGTTATCATCGATAGATTCTAAAGGGCAAAGCAAAGGCAGCAGAGGCAAATGTTACATTCAGCTATTTTCTTTTTTTTGGAATTTGCGAATTTTATCTCTCATGAAAAAAAAAAACAAGCAAATGTAGAAAAAGCGAAACCAACGCGAATTTCAATTGCAAACAGTTGTCGATTAGAGGTCGTCGTATTTGATTACGAGAATTTCTCATATCTGGCGAACGCAACTGCAAAACAGTTGCCAAATACCTAGTTGGGGTAAGTTCAGGTAAAGCGGCAGGCGGGGAGCGGCGACCGGACACTTCAGGCCAGACCGACCCCAACAGTGCGCTCTTGCAAGACAGAGGCCCAGATATACCCGGAATTGCCCTCAAATATACTTATTATGCCAGCGGGTTTTATTCGGTTTTACCTTTTCAGTTAATGCAAAGTCTTTGTAGAATCGAATCATTCTATAATCCGGAAGCTTATAACTTTCAAGCATGAGCTGCCTGAAAATGACCTTGAAATGTGAGTTGATCGGGTAAAAACAGAAGCCTTTATAACGGTTGGCATACATGCTGTACTTTTTAATCGTTGCTTAAGGCTTGTAATTCTCAATGAGTTTAAACTTCGAAAGGTTCTTGAAATAGCCATGCGAATAATCTGTATTTTTTAGTTTCTATATCAACGATGTATTGGATGATAAGGACCATTAATAAACAAATAATATATATTACTCTGATCATTTATCGGATTTGAAGAATTCCTATCGATGAAGCTTTACCAACGCGACTGCAAGGGTCGAAGGTAGAAAATGCAGCTCGACTGCAATACCTCAATATAAATTATCTTGGGGTTTTTTTTTAGATTTAGTTAAAAGACCTACTTACTACTGCTTTATAAAATCAAGGCTGTAAGTCGATTCGTGTATAACTTACTAAAAAAATAGAGTATGTAGTTAACAGAGAGGCAAACAGAAACAAATTGTTGTGCAAAGTCTTTCTACGTTGTATCAGCAGAAATGCTCATCAATGCGTGCCACTGACCCACTAAATCGCACATGGTCTGTTATGTCTATATTCTTTATCAAAATGATGAGTCGATAAAGCCGTGTCTGTCTACGCGATTCCCGCTACCAGCCACCCGCTGCCCCTGGCTCTACCTGTCTTGGGTTCAGGTTTAAGGCCATGATTGACAAAAAGATTGCTGAAGATATTATGTACAAAGATATTATGTACCGACTGGATTCAGGCACTATCTTGGCGTATTTGTAAGTAACTGATAAATATGCAATTTATTACCCGGTTCCGACTGTTCGTTTATAAACTGGAGGGCAACCCGGGACGATAAGCGGGGGTGGTCTACTAAGATATAAGGTCCAAGTTTAAAGATAAGTTCAGTTGTCACCGGCGATTGATCAGTCAGGTGATCAACTAGCCAACTGTGCCGAGGACTCACACACCAAAATGCGAGTGTGTGTGTGTGTGTGTATGTGTGTGCGTGGTGTGTGTGTGTTTGTTCCTATGTAGGCAGGTAGCACTTGGTAGTAAATACTTCTAATCGCAAACTGAGGGCGACAAACAAAAATGAAAACGAAAACAAATACAAAAACAAAAATCTTTGCATGCCAACAGCCAACAGCAGCAGAAACATTTGTGTTGTCTTTTATACCCTGACCAAAGGTCTTACAACTTTCTTACAAAACGTGTAACGCATGGAAGGAGACGACTTCAAGCCTATAAAGTATATTTATTCTTGTGAAGTATCAACAGTCGGAACTAAAGAGTCTGGCCTCTTTGTCACAAATCTTTGCCTCCTCTTTCTCGGATCGAAAGACTATATACTATAGAAAATATCGGTCGAAACAAATTTGTTCGTATGCAAAACTTTCTTTGTGAAATATTAACCAAGTCGTAGCATGCATTATTATAACCATGCCTCTTCCTATCCTTTCGTTTTACTATATATCATATATCTGTATAATTTATATATGCGACCATTTGAGGCACATCGGACGACTATATCATATAGTTGTATTGGAGTAATCGGTTGTTGGTTAACTTTGATATGAAAAAAAACCTCTCTGTTTCTCAAGATATCCCAACTAAACTCACTTTGCTGCTAACAAAATCGGTCTAGTTATATTATTATATAGCTGCTATAGGAGAAATGGGTTATAAAGGGTATTCAACACTCGGCGTGCCAAAGTTAACTGTCATTGTTTTCTTTTTTTTTTTTGCAAACGCGAGCGAACTTGGAGTCGCCGCCGGGTGAGTAACTCCAAAGAGCAGCAGAGCTGGCGATGGCGTCAGCAGCGCATTGGCAGCTGACTGACTGGCGAGGTGTGAGAGAGCGAGACAGAGAGAGAGAGAGAGGGTAAGGGAGAGAGGGTGAGAGAGAGAGCGAAGGCAGAGAGGAGGTGTGCCGAGTTGAGGTGAGAACTGAAACTGGCAATGGCAATGGCAAAGCCCAAACGCTGGAGAGCGCAGCTGACGCTCTCCGAGCACGCATCGACGACGATGACATCATTTGGATTCACAGCCGACGACGTCGTCGTCGCTGCTGCTGCTGCTGGTGCTGCTGGTGGTGCGCGGAGCAGCAACAATTGGCCAAGTGGCATATGCTACTTACAGCATCTGGAGGGTGAGCCGCATGGTATCTCTGGAGGGATCACCGCCATTGTGGACCTCGCTGCGCAATATCTTGACTATCTCCTGGTCGTGCTGCTCGGCACAGGACAGCAGCTCGAGCAGGGCCATACGCTTCTCGGGCGCCAGCAGCTGTGGATTCTGTGTCAGCGGCACCAGCTTCTCCGCTACGCCGGCAACAGCTGCGCCCGTTGCATCCACGCGCGCTTGGCCGGCATAGCTGAGGCTCAGTTCGCCAAAGCCGCCGCCGCGTGACGTCAGGCTGAGCGTGTCTTGGCCACGTGCGCTGCTCAGCGGTGTCACCGTCGGCACCGGCGGCGGATGCTCCATTTGACGGCGCACGGTCTTCGACGGCGGCGGCTTGCGTCGTCGTGGCGGCGGCGTCATTGCCGTTGTCATTGCTGTTGCTGCTGTGTCCTGTTCGATGCGCGAGAGCAGCATCTCCAGCTGCTCGTGCGCCGCCTGCATCGGCTTTGGCCGGGGCGTGTCCACTCTCGCCTTTTGGCTGCCGCGTCGCATCAGTGTCGCCACCGACGTGTGCGTCATGGTCATCGTGGTCAGCACGCCGGGGCATGTCCGGCCAAAGGCCACACGCGACGTCATCGGCGGCTGCAACTGCAGCTGCTGCTGCTGTTGCTGCTGCTGCTGTTGCTGCTGCAGCTGCTGCTGCATCGGACGTTGCACTTCGCGGTGCAGCTCCCTGCCCGCTGCGGTGCAGCGATTATGCTTTTTGGCTTTCCACGCGCCGCTGCCACCGCCGCTGCTGCCGTTATATTTACTGTTATTGCTGCTGCTGCTGTTGTTGTTGTTGTTGCTGTTGTTGCTGTTGTTGTTGTTGTTGCTGCTGCTGCTGCCCTGGCGACTCGGCGGCACGACAGCAATGGTCATGTTGTTGGCTCGTGTCTTGCTCAGCTGCGGTGCTTGCCTGGCTGCCGCTTTGCTCCTGCTGCCAGCTGCCCGCTCCTGCTGAGCTGTAGCTTTGCGTCGCTGCTGCTGCTGCTGCTGCTGCTGCTGCTGCGGCGGTTGGGCCGTTATGTGACTGCGGCGCCTGCGCGCGTTCATCTCCAACGGGCTCTTAATGTCCATTTGTTATTGTTGCTGCTGCTGCTATCGTTTGGCGTCGACGTTGACGTTGACGTTGGCGTTGGCGTTGGCGTTGGCGTCGCTGTCGCTGGCTTCAGTGCTCGCTGCGCTTCGGTTTCAATTTCAGTTTCTCGGTCGACGCTCGCCGGTTCGGTTCGGTTTTCGGTTCGCGGTACGCGGTTCGCCCTCGCTTGTTTCCGTTTTCTATTTGTTTCTGTTTTCGGACACGCTTTTCACATATAACAAAAAAAAAATTCTCAACTAAAATTTGTACGAACAAAAATGTAATTGTAACAATTTATTAATATTCAATTTTTGTTTGTTCGCCTTTGGCTGCTGTCAGCATTCAATTCGAATTAGTTGAGTGTGTGTGTGTGTGCGTGTGTGTGTGTGTGTTTGCTTGACTTTGACATTTGAGTGTTGATTTGCCGCCTTATTTGTTGTTGTTGTTGTTGTTGTTGTCGCTTCTGCTTGTCAGCAATTTTAACATGCAGTTGAGTCTCCTGCTCCATGCCCTGCCCATTTGCTTGTTGTCTGTGGTCTGTCCGGAGCAGGATAATACTGCGAGGTGTGCCCTTAAGGTTGCAGCTATATTTAGTATGCTATTCTCGACTCTAGAGACGAGACAAACTGGTTTAGCATCTGTCTCCATTGATTTCTCTTCATTTATCAATCTGCTCATCTTATAAATATTCTCTTTGGAATATACCAATAAGCTTTGCAGCCTAACTTTCGTACACAACGCTATGAGACATTCGAACCCACAGCCTGCCCTCAGAATATTTATCTCAACTTTCATATTCATATTGGCTTCCCAACTACCTTAGGCTAATTGTAATATACCTTAGCTGGCTTTGATATTTCTGTCTTCTTTTTATCGGAGCATCGATTTGACAGTGAACGCAATCGCCTCGTCGAAGTATTTATGTATATGGTAAAAACCTAGCTGTTTTTTTTTTTTTATTTGTTTTTTGTTAAAGTTTCCTATCTGCTGGTGCACAAAGCAAAGCTTTTATACAAAATCCAAAGCAATTTAAACCAAAGCGAGGAAGCAACAAAAATAAAACATGGTAAGTGGATATGCAAATGTGCCTAAACAATAAATTACCAATCGATCAAAATAAATCATATGCTAGACAAACATCAATTCACAAATTTGAAACCCCCTCCCCTCCCCCCCACACACCTCATCGTTCATCACATGGCTACATGGCTGAAAATTAATATATATACTCTGTTCGAGCTGGTTCGCCCAACTGGCCACCCGGTTAACTAGACGCCGTTTGGCGTGTGGGCGGCTGCCCTGGCAAACAGGTTGCCATTGCGTATACGCCGCATCGGCCGCAACGTTCGTACGCATTTGGTTTTTTTTTTTTCTTTGCTCGTGGTCGTCGAAGTGTCTACTCCAAAGTTGGTCTTAGCGAGCCATGTGCAAGATTCATAGCGAGTGGAATTTTCAAGTGTTACATGCTACAACAAACAAAACAAAAACATAAACAAAAACACAAGCCCAACTGCCATTTATGTGTACATTTTTTTTTTTTTGGCATTTCTTATACCCTTTACCTAGCGCAAAAGGTATGAGAGACTTGTAACAGGCAGAAGAAGCCATCGGTGAGCCCAAGAAGCACATGTATTCCCGAACAAGACATAGAGCCGAGTCGCATAGTCTCATCTATATATAACAAGTTTATATCAATGAATATATGCCCTTATTTTCAGGACTACACAAAGATCTAAGTAGATCTGTTGCCACTCTCCCCCCGAATTTATTCGAGAATACATTTGCTCTGGTGTAAAGCTGAGCAAAGCCTCAGTAGCTGGCCACAGGGTATCCCAAAGTCAGGCACTCTCGACTAGCAAGCACCCTTGCTTGCTGTTTGCTGTAGTTTTATGAGCTGCCTACCAAAGAGACGAGCACAAAGCGCGTCTCCATATGGACTGGCCTGGCCTTATAGGTATTGCCGATAATTATCATACTAAAAATAACAGAAACTTAGAGAAACACGCACACAAGCTCATAAGATCGAAAAACAATTCATTAAAATATTTTCAAAGTTACCAACGTGCCTGGGCCTCCTCCAGTCGCCGTCTGGTTTAGTGGGCGAACATGAAACTTTCAACAAAAAACAAAAAAAAAAAAAAAAACCATAATAAAAATTGTAAAAATTCAGAAATATCTTTATATGTATAAACTATAGTCAAACGAATTGCTTCGCAAGGGTCGGCACTTGAAGTCGTTGACGAGAAAGCCGCTGATCTATGCGTCAATTTGGGGCTGAGAGCAACGCCCACGGATCTGGTTGGGAAAGCAAAAGTGTCGCGCCGCTGTTGGAGCCCGTCTCCAAGAGCCGGAGGCATCCAGATCAAATGGCGATCACCACAGCACAGACCTCAAAGCCAAATTTCCAGCTTTAAGCTCTGCTCTGACATCATTTCCATTCGTTGGGCGAGAGAAGCATTCCGAGGCTAAATTTGGCAGCCAATTGAAGCGAATGATTTATTTCAATTTCACTCTCTTACCCAAAAAAGAATCTATCTATATATATATTTTTAATACATATATATATTGTGCAATGGTCAGAGAGCGTTTTGTTTAAGTATTAGTCAACTTTTTGCATCAGAAACCTAAACTTTTTGTTCTGTTTCTTTAAAAGTGAGACCCTTTCTTTCAAGTTAAAAATATATATCTCTGACTAGAAACTGAGCTATGTTATATTTATAAAAAATTAATAGATTAAACAGGAAATACAATTTGCCGAATAATTATGCAGGCATTAAAAGGCATTATTTATTCGAAATTCAAAATTTGCAGCCTTTAGGTCTCTTTAGGCACAATCTAAATTTCTGAAGAAATGAAAAAATTTTCTCAGTGGGTCAAGGCATATCATTTGCAGGAAGAAAGGCTTCCAAATGAAAAGTATTTCAAAAAAGTTCCTAATTAGAATGACATTTAATTGTCTAGATTTTCTTTGCCATTTTTAATTTCTAGTTTCTATCCGTCAAAATGTATTTGATATTATCTTTGTATTATATGTGTTTGATCCCGATCCATAATTTTTTTGTCTGTTTGATTTTCTATATTATTTTGGTTATAATATTCCTCGAACATGCATCTAAAGCAATATTAAATGGGTTTTCTATTTGCTTTTATTTTGCGGGTTTTCTCTGTTTGTTCTGAAGTTTTTCCCGATTTAGCCTAGATTTAACCTAGCACCCGAGAATTAAGTGCTTTCTGTATGGACTTAATAGCTCGCATCGGATTTCGCTCGAAAAATGTTTTATTCAAAATTTTTGTATGTCAGGGTCAACGACCGGCGTTAGGTGATCTTTTAATGTTTGCAACAATCAGGCTCACCACCCACTCCGTGCCACGCCCCCTCACGGGCCGGCACACCCCGCGGCCCGCGGGGGTACTTCAAATGGCAATTACTTATACGCAATGTTGCCCGAAAGCAGCAATTTGTATGGCTAAACATAGCGCCTCGTTGATTGACAGCATTGATTGATGGCCTCTGGGCAATAGAAGCAGCAACAACAATAGACCTCACACACACACACACACACACACACAAAGAGAGGGAGAGAGAGTGGAAAGAGAGAGTGTGTGCGAGTAGTATGAATCATGTGTGCAATATTTTAATTATCGCATTTGAATAAGCAAACTACAAAATACAAATTCAACAAAAATTGAAATAAATTGTTTTGACTTACTGCGGCTTGTTGGCTTTTCAAGGGAAAAACTGTGCCGGCTAAATTGTTGTTTACGCTTGTTATTAATTATTCTCATTCCTGTTGTTGTTGTTGCTGCTGCTGCTGCTGCAGCTCATTTGGCAACTGAGGCGGCGGTGTGATTGCAGCAATTAACTGATAAGAACTCAAAATCCAATCAGAGCACACGTCAAGCTATCAGGTGAGACTAAATGCCAGGCAGCCGGCCATCAATGTCTCCCCTCCTACACGATATAGCCATCCTCAAAATACACGAAGAACCACTCAGCAGTTCGTACCTTCCCGAATTGTGCAACAGGGCCTGTCGTATGCTGATGCGCTACGGCCAGGCCATCATGTACAAGTCCGCCAACCCCCAGCGCGCACTCTTCAGCCCACCGTCAATCCAATGCAGCTCCAACAACCACTGCAAGGGCCTCAGGAGCAAGACGCTTCCCTTGGAGGCATCCTTCAAAACCTCCAGCAGTCCATTGCAGCACTGAATGCCGCAGTTGCAACCATTCTGGTTAGCATTAAAGAGCTAAAGGATGCGCAAGGTTCCCCGCAGCTTAGATTCCCAAAAAGCCGCAAATAATGGCTACCCAGTTACGTCTCGGATCGTGGAACGCTCGTGGCATCCTCCAAAATGCTAACGAGCTCAAGCTTTTTCTGAAAAAGCATGATGTAGACATCATGCTCATCTCAGAAACACATCTGCACACAAACTTGTACCTAACAATGGAGGGGTACGTCTGCTACCGTGCGGATCACCCTACAGGACGAGCCAGAGGTGGTGCTGTAGTGCTGGCAAAGCAGGATTTAGCACACTACCATCTACACACAGTGACCTCCAGCGACACACAGCTGGCTGCTATCATGGTGGAGACTCCCTTGGGCGAAATCCTCGTTGCGGCAGCATACCTACCACCAAACATCCCCTGGAACCGAGCGGAATTTGATTCCCTGTTTGGCCAGCTTGGCCCCAAATTCATCGTTGGAGGCGACTTCAACGCTAAGCACAGACTGTGGGGAAACTACAGAGCTGACAGCAGAGGCACTGCGCTCCATGAGGCGCTCACTCCCTGCTCAGCCCAGGTACTGGCCACCGGTAGACCTACCCACTTTCCGTACAACCGGCAAAGTACGCCTTCCTGTATCGACTTTTTTATATTCAAGGGCATCCCCAACAGCGTACTATCGGTTCGCGAAGAGTATGATCTATCTTCCGACCATCTGCCACTCCTCACAACGATCAACACGGCTGCACAAAGGATCCCAAAAAAGCGCAGGCTTGTCCTCCCTGGGTCGAACATCCAACGATTTAAGGCCGAACTAAATAGCTTGATCAACCTAAACACGCAGATTCTGTCAGTTGAGGACGTCGACGCTGCAGTACAAACCCTGTTGGACCAAGTACATGCCGCAGCCGCCAACGCTGCGCCCGCACATATCTACTCAGCCCCTACAAGCCAGCGGCCAAGGACGTTTTCCCCCATATTGGAAGGTCTTCTCGCCCTAAAAAAGCGACTGAGGAGGGAGTATGTCCGTACCCAGGACCCCACGATTGACAGGTTCTATCGTCGTATTGCTAACAGGGTCAGGAAGGAGCTGATTATCTCGAAAAGAAATGCCACAGACACCATGCTGGAGGAAGCAACGGCAGACGAGAGCTCCAAATTCGCGCTGTGGAAACTTAGCAGTCGATACAAGCGGCAAGCTGCGCCAAAGTTCCCCGTTCGACTTCCCGATGACACCTGGGCCAGATCACCAATGGACAGAGCCGAAGCCTTTGCCTGCAACTTGGAGGAGCGCTTCAAGCCGTTTGAGACCGCATCGCATGCAAGGATACAGCGAGTCGCGCAAATCCTGGAGGCGCCACTCCAAATGTCACTCCCTGTATCGCCAATCACCTTCCAAGAAGTAGAGCAGGAGATGAAGAGATTAAAAAGCAGCAAAGCCCCTGGGGAAGATCGGTTGGACAACCATACAATCAAGCTACTGCCATACAAGGCGGTGCTTTTTCTCGTCGCCATTTTTAATGCAGCTCTTCGGCTAGGTTACTTTCCAGTGGCTTGGAAGAAGGCACATATAATCATGTTGCACAAGAGCGGAAAGCCCCCTAATCAACTGGGATCCTATCGCCCCATCAGCCTCCTGCCTGCCTTTGGTAAGATTCTGGAAAGGTGCATCCTCAGAAGGGTCCTGGATACCCCGGAAATAAAACGCTTGATCCCGAAGTTCCAGTTTGGGTTTCGACTCAAACACGGTACCCCTGAGCAACTACATCGGGTCACAAATTATATTTTGGACGGCTTTCACAGGAAAGAGTATGTGGTGGCAGCATACCTTGACATCCAAGAAGCCTTCGACCGGGTGTGGCACGCAGGACTCCTCTCTAAGATAAAGGACAAATTGAATCCGCAGCTATTTAGCACCATTGCGAGCTTCCTAACTGAGAGAACCTTTCAAGTGGTGCAGGATGGAGTAGCCTCTCAAACCAAACGCATAAAAGCGGGCGTTCCACAAGGCAGCGTCTTGGGTCCCACGCTATATAGCCTGTTTACACATGACATGCCCACAGCAAATGCAAGCAGACGGAATGATCGGCAGGACCTTCTGGTGGCCACGTTTGCTGACGACACGGCAATCCTTGCAAAAAACAAATGTGTGTACGTGGCAACTGACCTCTTGCAGGAATACCTCAAGCGATTTGAAAACTGGGCTTGTAGATGGAACATCGCAGTGAACCCTGGAAAGTGCGCCACGGTTACCCACACTCTACGCAAGGACTCATGCCCCGGACTTTTTCTTCATGGTGAGCTTCTAGAGCAATATCGTCAACACAAGTACCTAGGTGTCACTCTCGACAGACGACTTACATTTAGTAAGCACGTCTCTGCAGTAACGAGCAACATCAAATCTAAGATAAGGCGAATGAGCTGGCTCCTCAACTCCAAAAACAAACTCTCGCTCCGAAACAAGGTCCTAATCTACAAGGTAATCCTTGCCCCAGTGTGGCGTTACGGGCTTCAAGTTTACGGTATAGCTGCAAAAACACACCTGAACAAAATCCGCATCATTCAGGCCAAAACCCTGCGCAAAATAACTGGAGCCGAATGGTATATTCGCACACGCGACATCGCCAAGGACCTCAAGGTTCCAATGGTGGGCGACATAGTCAACAGGCAAGCAGCGAGCTACTCAACAAAGCTCCACAACCATCCAAACATCCTGGCGAGGAGCCTGCTAAGGAGGCGAAGAAGAAGGCGACTGAAGAGGACCTACCCAACCGACCTAATCGATCGTTATGTATAGGTGACAAGCTTCGTTAATTACACCAAAATATGTTTCTGTAATCTGTTAACCTAATTGTATAACTAATTGTAAAACCACAATCATCGCTAAGCTAAGTAATTATGTCACTCTGATAAAAGTTGCTAACATAGAGTAACAGGATACCAGATTTCTTAATAAACAAAATATAAAAAAATAAAAAAAAAAAAAAAAAAACAAAAATTGAAATAAATTGTTTTGACTTACTGCGGCTTGTTGGCTTTTCAAGGGAAAAACTGTGCCGGCTAAATTGTTGTTTACGCTTGTTATTAATTATTCTCATTCCTGTTGTTGTTGTTGCTGCTGCTGCTGCTGCAGCTCATTTGGCAACTGAGGCGGCGGTGTGATTGCAGCAATTAACTGATAAGAACTCAAAATCCAATCAGAGCACACGTCAAGCAGGTGCACTTAGCGCAGAAGTCAGCAGAGAAACATGATTCAATCTGAACTCCGATCCTGGAAAATACAAATTCCCAACTTTAAATTAAATCGATCAAGCTTACAACTTAGATTATTATTACGATTATTTTGCAACATTTTAGAATTACGCGTAATTGGACTTATTAGGCTATAATATTATGGACTATCTACTTGATGCAATATTTGTAAAGTGAACCTAACCTTAAATCAAATCTAACCTCAAAGAAGCTATGATTTTTTGAACCATTTTGGTTTAAAATTAACCAAATTTGGCCCGCATCTTCTATACGAAAATATCTTAGGCAAACGGAAAATTCTATTATTTCATTCGAGTCTTAAAGCCAATTACAAATCATCTTTTAGACCAAGTCCTCAATTCAAGAACTTAAAAGCAACGAGCTAGTTCAAAACGTGAACGGAACGGAACCACAGACAACTTTTTCGGTCGGTTAGCAAGTTACTAACGAAAATATTTACTTTATTGTTTACAATTTTGACAAGACAAAAAACAGAACTAGCAAGAGCTGCTATCTTCGGCATGCTCGAACACGAAATACCCTTGTGGAAATATGGCTTACAGGCTTGCACATTCGTGCTGTTTCGGCCAATGTTCATACGATGTTCCGACTCAGTTTATCATATACAGCTTAAAGCTGTAAGGGTATTGAATGTTCGTGGAACTGAAGTCGTCCGTTTGTCTGCTTCTTAATTTTTGTTTGTTTGGGCGTTAAATTTTTTCATGAAATTGTGCGCTGTCGTTTGCTGCGCTGCTTTTTGTTTGTTCGTTGCTTGCCTTTGTTGTTGTTGTTTTTTTTACTGTTTTCTTTTATGGTAGGGCCATTCAAGCAAACTTACTTCGAGTGTGTCGATTGGCGCTCTCCCTCTCTCTCTCTCTCTCTTTCGTTCTCTCGAGCGTTGATTTGTGTTCATTTGCTTAATTCAATTCTAACTCTAGCGATGATCTAAGTGAGACGTCGTCGTCTTCGCCGTTGTTCTTGTTCTTTTTGTTATTCGTCTTTTTGTTTTGTTCTTTTTGTTGTTGCTACATCTGGCGCAAACTTTAAACAAGCGAGTAAAACAAAAACAAGAACAGCAACAGGCAGCTAGTCAGGCAGCAAAGTGCCCGCAATTGCTAGCCGAAAAATTAATGTGCGTTTAATTCGGGCAAATTAAATTTGGAGAGCGCCGACGTCGACGTCGACGTCGAAGCTGCCAGGCGCAGCAGCGCGCGCACACAAATAGAACAGCAATTGGCAATGCGCTGCAGCTGCTGGTGCCCCGCGCGTCCCAGTGTGCCCCTCGCGTTATCAAGCGCAGAGTGCATCGTGTAAATTGGTGAAATTTACGACCTGCTGCCATTTTTCATTTTTATGAGCAACGATTTTCATTTATTGCGCCTGCCTGTTCGCCATTACCCGTTTACCGTTAACCGTTTACCGTTTGCCTTGTGGTGACGTCGCCTTGCTGTTTGTATTTGTTGTCTTTTTTTTCTTCTTCCCACAGTTATCGGTGACAATCGGTTGACGCCTTTAGCGACACCTCCGAATGGTTTGCGACTCGGCTAAGAAACCTCGCTGCCATTGCCACTTGCCCATCCACGACGCGCCACGCGTGGGTGGCCCATACGGCATATGGCAGTGGGCTAACAGCCAGGTGGCCAGTTTGGTCAGCCATGGACACCTGAGCAAATGTGCGATACGTGTCATCGAATCGATGAATAACCGCAGATAGCGTACATTTGTAATGTTTGGACTTATGGACAATTATGAATTGTAAATGCCACTCGGGGGCAGTTTATCTAATGGCCATGGCCATCTCCTATGGCATATTTGCCATGAAATTTATAAAAAGTGCTTTCGAAATTTTACAGTCGAAAAATCTCAATAGTTTCGGATCATGTGCCACAGCCCCATGCTTTTGGGTTCGATTTGTGAATCTGGAACTTTTTCCTAGAGATCCCGAATATCCCGGAAATTTAGTTTATTTTGAACCAAAATATTTTGGATCAACATATTAGATCGTGGTGGTTGGGGCAAAGGTTCGGTTAACAGTAAATAATAAATTGCAATTCCGGAATCGAACTGGTTTTGTGGCATACTTCTTGCCATTCTGGACAAGCTCTTAAGTCTACTTGCAAACAACCTGTTGTCAGGGAGAACAAATATCTGTAGTATTACGCAGAAGCCGAGTGTAAAGTTCAAGGTGAATAAACTTTGGAAGCGGTTTAGCCGAAACTCTTAATTGGATCGTTTGTCATTTAGACTTTTAGGACTCCACTTACGATTATTTACTTAAAACAAAAAAATTCCAGTTTGCATTAGCCACAAAAATAAAATGTGACAATAAATCAAATGGTTTCAGGTTTCATCTCTCTAGAAAACACAAATTTTCGATACAAATGTTAACCATTCGAATTTATAGAAAAGTGAATATCATTTGTCAGCAGAATTGATTGGAAAGCGAACATCATTTATTCGATGACAACAGAGCTTTCAGGAACTCCAAGCTGTTCTGAATTCTATTTAGAATTGATGACACAGATTTCACTTTGGTACTTAGAGAAACTTTTCTGAAGAATAATTTTGTTACTTCAGTTGTCGAATAAAATAGATCAAAACCCCAATAAGATCTTGATTTGCAACCATGCATCATATCTTACTATCACATTAAAGAAAACCGTATTCCCAAGCTAAATACTGTACATTTCTATTTTTGCAAATGAATTTCTTATTGTGTTCCGAATTTCGCTTTTGACACAATTTCACACAAATACTTATAGCATACTCTTTGGAGCCGACTCACATAGATCCTCAGTTCTAAACGGTTTTCGAAAAGCAACTCAGAATTATTTTGATTGATTCAAATGTAAAAAAGAAAATTACAAATGGGCTTGTAAGACCTGATTACATTTTGATGCAAATCAGAGAATAAACTGTGTAGGTACTCAGATTTGTTAGATATATGAAACGATTAGATTTTGCTAGATTGCGTTTAATTGGGGAACTGCTCGAGACAGCCGTCAGAACGGAGACTCATTACTATATAATGTGTAATCAAAATGATTTAACGCTGATGCTCATCATTTTATTATTATTATTAAAAAAGTACACATCATATTATTGTTCTTCTTCGTTCTGCGGTCGGCGGCTCTGAAGTTTTTTTCTCTTTGTTTTTTTTTCTTCATTGAATTACGCAAATCGCTGTTGTTGTGCGGTTTATGAACTCAAGGCACACTTTGAACGCCCCCTTGGACAGCACGGACCTATGTATTATATGTATTTATATGAATACATATTCATGTACTCATTCATTCGCACCATTTAGTCACCCATTCCAGTCACATTGTTGTGAACTGGGTATATCAAATTATGAAATATTTGAACGCATTGCCGACGTGATTTCCATTCTAATTGAGCGCGATTCTTTTGTTATCTCGCACAGTCGGAGCCGGCATCGATCTGTCACAAGTGCAATGAGGTCATACAGCAGCGCATCATTACGGCGCTGGGCAAAACCTGGCATCCGGAGCACTTTGCCTGCAAGGACTGCCAGCGTCCCATCACCGAGGCCACATTCAACATACAGAGCGGGGAGCCGGTCTGCTCCGATTGCTTTGTGAGCAACTACTCGGGCACCTGTTTCGGCTGCAAGCAACCCATCTTGGAGGTAAGTACTCAGCCCCACCCTTTACCGATTGACATTGCAATTTTGCAATTTCCTGTCTTCCAGTCCTCGTGCCAGTGCAATATGCTCAAGAGTTTCTTAGTACTTGTCACCGTCAGCAGCAGTTCCTATTCATAGAGATAATATCAAGGATTTCTCAGTTCTAGTCCCAGTCATCATCCCAAGCCCAGGGTCGCCTTTCTTAGACTCAGTCCCTATCCGATGCATAGACATTTCATCATGAGTTTCTCAGTGCCAGTCCTTATCCGAGTGATGGACATATGATCAAAGCTTTCTCAATCCCAGTCACAGAAGCTATCCAAATCAGGGACACAAGATCAAGACTAGCCCTCAACCCTCAATCCCAGTTCCTACTCGACTCATAGCCATAACATCTGGAGTTTCTGGTCTGTCTCAGTCCCCGTTCGCGTCCCAGCCCCAGTCGTAGACTAAAGATCAAAAGTATCTCAGTCTCAGCGCCCGTCCGAATCGTTGACATAAGATCCACATTGATGACATCGTCGCAGTCGTCTGTTTGCCATTAACTTTGGCGCTTTATGAGCGTTGGCGGGCGGCAATTGTAATTAATATTGTCAACATTTGTTCGTATAGTCTATAAAGATTGTAATGCATAGGAAACTTGATTATATTTAACCCGTACATATATGCAGATGCGCGTAGTGTATTTGATCGTCATTTTGTCGGCAAAGGTGAATTGCATATAGTATGTGATGTCTATTTATAGGACTATTATACGGGCGGAAAAGCTAGTTTATCCAGCTCTTGAGAAGCTGCATCAACGACAATATAATCACTTAGATGATAATATATATATATATGTCTATTTAAATATGAAAAGTTCTAAATTCATTTTTGTTAAGCATGCGGTAATATCATTTTAAGCAAGTTGGCTAATAATACGAATTTATATACTACAATATTTCTGTATTGTAAATTGACTTTTCCACATAAAAGAATCAATCTCACAACTAAAACTAAATAAGTATAAAGATTTTCTTTGGATTATGTCAACGTTTACGTTAAATAAAAGTTAACAAGTTTAAATATGTTTATAAATAGAGTTAATTGACAAGAATCTGTTCATTAACGAACTGCAATTCATTTTAAATGAATTATCTGTTGTGAGAATTGCATAGAAAGGAATTCAGACTTGCAACACTCTGGCAACACTACCATTATTCCCTTCGTATTGTTTGAGTATTGTAAGAATTGCATAGAAAGAGCATTAGAACTTCGGCATTGCCTGCTAAAAAATTTTCGTTCTGCCCTCTTATCGCCAGCTGTGTTTACATCAATGTCACAAGGTCGCGAGAATTGCGCTGGGTGTGTGCGATTGATTGGCTTTGATTGAGATTATGTTTATATATGCACATATGCAGCTGATTGGAATCGTCAGTGTATTTATTGTACCTAGATTAAATTCGAAATATTTGACTAACAATACATGACTCTCTCGTTACCAGCGCACCATCAAGGCCATGGAGCAGTCGTGGCACGAGGAGTGCTTTGTATGCGCCGGTCCATGCAAGAAGCCGCTGGTGGGCACCTCATTCTACGAGCGGGACGGTCGACCCTACTGTCGCATCGACTTTGAGCAGCTGTTCGCGGCCCGCTGTGCCGGCTGCACTCTGCCCATAACGGAGAATGCCATTGTGGCGCTCAACGCCAAGTGGCATCGGGATTGCTTCAAGTGCAAGGTGGGTGCAAAACTGCAAATTGAATTTGAACCGCGCGCCGGTTCAAACTATATACACTTTACTATATCTAATGATGGTTTCTTATTTTGTTTGCAGAAGTGCCTGACGCCCATTACGGCCAGCACGTTCGCAGTGGAGGACAATAAGCCAATGTGCACGGCCTGTTCGGAGTAGGCTGGAAGGCGGCCCGGGCACCCTCTGCACGGACGGACGGACGGACGCACAACAGATCGATGTATATTATAGATGTTTATGGTATTTGTAGTATTCGCAGTTGTTGAACAAAGCTAAAACGTAACACAACTAGAGTTTAAACACAACATATTCGAAAGTCAACGTTCGAGTCTAAGCTAACAAAAAGGAAAAAGAGTTCCGACTACTCCACAATAAACACACGCACACACACACACACACACACACACACTCGCCACTTGGAGAGCTCCGCCTACTTCACCTTTAGCTGCATTCGGATGTACTAAAATATATAGATATTTTATTATTTTTATTATTTTTTTTTTTTATATATAAAATGCATTTTATACGAAAGATGCATTTAGAACAGAGATGCCAGAGCTGTCAAGAGTTGTTTGGCGCGAGAAGTGTGGCCAGGGGTATGGGGTAGGGGATGCGGGCGGATGCGTGGGCGTGTGGAGTCAACGTATATATATATATATGCATGTTTTTACATAGTTGTTATATATTCTACACCTAACTCGCATACACTTTGTCGCCTGCAACACTATCTCTCTCGCTCTCTCTCTTTCTCTATAACTATCTCTTTTATCTCACATGTTATCTCTTTCTAAATTGTATTGTTATTCTGAAGCTATACAAATATATGACAATTAATCTTGATCCTTAGCATTTTTATTTCAAACAGGAACATGTCAGCATTCTCTCTCTCTCTCTCTCTCTCTCTCTAGGCATATGTATAGTGCTATCATAATCAGTTGTGGAGGGCGCGAGGGAGAGGTGAGGTTTTATAACGATCAAATCGATGCATTTTATTTATCCCACAAATGATTAGAACACTCACATAAGTGTGTATATGCATTAGAATAAGTAACTTAACAATTTGGATGGCCGAAAAGAAATGTAAGAAAATTCCTCAGATTGTTTCATTTGGTTCCTGCCAGCGTCTATTCCTCAAGGGGCTTCATCTGTTAACTGTGCATCCTCATATAGGGCAGAGGCACGAGGTGGATTGTTCAATTTTTAATTTCAGCTTTAATTTTAATTAGATAGTTACCTTTTTGTTTAACATGGCGCCCAGGGAGCGCACAAGAGGATCGAGAACCTCGCGTACTTGCGACTTGGTCACATGCTCCATGGCCTCCAGGAGCTGTTGGTGTAGCTCTCGCTTCTCCCGTCCGGGTTGCTGCAGCAGCGCCAATATGTTGGTCAACTGATGCTTTTGGCCTTCGCTGGGCTCCTCGTCGAGCTCGCTGGATGGCTCGCCGCGATAGTCGCCGCACTGGACGCACTCGATATGGGTGGGCACATCCTCGGTGGGCTGCTCCGGCTGCATTTCGGCTGGCTGGCCGAGAATGATACCCGGCACGGGCTGGGCACTGCCGATGGGATCCGCCAGCAGCTTGGGTTTGCGCAACCAGGGGCGCGGGCGACGCTTTTCGATGCGCTCCTTGGGCACCAGGCGCGGCTCATACAGCTTGAGGTCATTGAGGAACATCTTGAGATCGTAGCGCTCGTGCATGCCTGGCCGTGCCTGGCCATTACCATGCCCATGCCCATTGCCATGGACGCGCCTCTGAAGGCGCCGATAGGTCTCGCGCGCCAGCTGAAAGCGCTGCTCCTGCATGTCCTCAATGAACGTTAGGAAGCTGGTGCAGCGTTGCTGCAGGCACTCCACCACCGGATCCTGACGATCCAGCACGCCCTTTTCCAGGCACACGTTCGTCAGCGTGTACATCATCTCGATGAGGGCGCTCAGCTTCTGCGGCACCTTGTCCAGGAGGAAGTAGCGCACCTGACGCTGGTAACGGCCAATCGAGTGATGCATCAGCCCGTAAACGCAGACCACTCGCTGACTGGCCTCGTTCGAGGTGCTGCTGTTAAAGTTCGCCACCGGCGTGCAGCGCACATCTTCGATCATGCCGCGCAGCGGATACAGAAAGTTCCGCGAGAATCTCACACAGAAATTGAACGCGTTCCGTTCGCGTCGCTGTTTCTCCTGGCTGCTGTTGCTGATCAACGGCAGCTGCAGCAGGCTGCCCTGGAGGCGGTCCAGTGCCGATATGATGCGCTCCTGCGTCAATGAGATCTTGTTGTATATGGACATCTTCTGGTATTTCAGATTCTCCAGCGACCTCGTGCAGACCACGGGCCGTGCCTTGCGACGTGGCGTTGCATTTTTCGCCGTCGGCGCCTGCACTGCTGTCGCAGCCATCGCCGTGGAGAGCTCTGTCAGCGGCTGCGATGGCATTACGCCAACTGCTTGCTGCTGTTCCTTGTCCCGTCCGCCGGGCTGGCGTCCTAGCGTCTGCCCTTTGGCTGCAGCCGGTGATTCCTGCAACAGCTTCCGCTTCGGCTGCCTGCTGCTGCCGCTGCCACCGCCGCCGCCGCCACCGCGCACCGCCTGCGCCATTTGAGGCGCCTTCGGCGTCCGGAACTTTGTATTGGTCGGCGTCACCGGATCCGGCGACTGCCTGTGTCCATATCGCCTGGCGGATGACAACTGCGGCGACTGCTGCTGCTGCTGTTGCCGGGCTGCTGCGGGCCGACCTGTGCCTGAGCTGTGGGCTGCAGGATTGATGGTGCCTGTGGTTCTGTCAGTAGCAGCAATAGCTATTGACTGTTCCTCGGACCTGCAATAGGTGAGCTGTTCCTGTTCCTGTTGCTGTTGCTGTTCCTCCTGTTCGCACAGCGTGCAGGTGTCCGTGTCGGAACGTTGGGATGTATAGTGCATTGGTTTCAGACTTCGCTGCAAGCTGATCCAGTGTGGATGCGGCTCCAGTTCCACGAAGCAGGCCTTCTGTGGACCGTCATTATCGGCCACATCCGGCTCACTGAGGTTGTAAGGCAGACGCTCAATGTAGCGCATGTAGCCGGGACGATCGGCATACTCCTGCTCCAGATCGCTGTCCTCCACAAAGTAGGGATCTAGGGGCTCCGGCTCGACGGGCACAAGCTGCTCCATATACATGCATCCGGCCGATTGGCGCACAGTCAGTGGCTCGTACATATTCACGTCCACCGCCTGGGGCATCATCGGCGAGGGTATTATGTCCGCCCACTGACCCTCCGGCTGTGGGTAATCCTCGTAGGACACTTGCTTCATTTGCATCGGCTCATCCTCATTGAGCTTCTGCTTCAGGCGCTGCAGTATCACGTCTGGCTCCGAATGTACTGATGGGCTCTCCAGATTCATTAATGGCTTCCGGCGCTGCTCGGTCTTCTTGATCGGCGCCTGCTGCGGCTGATTGGCGGCAGCTTGGGATTTGACGGGCTGCTTCTGGACGCGTTGCTGCTTTAATTTGCGCCTGGGTGATGAGACCCGCAGCTCCGACTGCGCCTGTCCCATAGATTTCAGCTCGGCGCACACCTCCCGATGCAGTCCCTCGATCCGCGCTGTATATTGATCCGCATCCGATAGCTTTTGCTTGGCAGCGCCACGTTTCACCTTACGGTTGCGCTGCTTTTTGCTCCGGTTCGCGGCACGGGGCGCTATCGTATCTGCTCCGCCGGCCAAACGATGCACGCCATGCTGTACATCGTTCTCCTGGTCGTCATTGCTGCAGCTGCTTGGGCTTTGGTTCCTGCTGCGGTAGCTGCTGCTGCGACTGTTTCCGCCGCTGCTTTGCTGCAGATCCAGCAGCTGCTGCTTGGCCCGCAGCGACATCTGCGTTTCCACGTCCAGGTCGCGCGATGTCACCATGCCGAGCACGTCGCGACCCGTGTTGCGCATCTTGCAGAAACGCGGCTTGCTCAGCTTGTGCATCTCCTTCTCCTTGCGGTTCTCGTCTCGCTCCGCGGCGCGCTGCAGGTTGTACCGCTTGACGGCATTCTTGATCGAATCCGGGTTGGTAAACTGGCGCGCGATACGGAGGCGGGTTTAAACAAAATGCCACGCCCATTCGCGAAACAGCCTACACCGTACTCACCTGAAACTCGTGTGCAAACGATTGTCCATAGAGATCATGGAGTTTCATCATATTATTGATTTTTGATTAATTTGTGTATGTCGGTGGGATAAAAGAATTAATTAGGAAGCCTCAGAGTTATAGATTTTGCGGTGGGGAAGGGAGGGGAAAAAGTATAACCAGATGAAATTTTGTTGTATGTACGCTTCCAAAAATTTAAAATTAATGCTTGTTTATTCTGCTCGACTCGTACGCCTTATCAAAGCTGTCTGTCGCCCTGACAGACCCTGCTTGACCCAATACATCAACTCCAGCAGCCCTTGAAACTGGCTCTATACACACATACATACACATACATACATATGTATATGCATAGATATATACAAAATATATTGATGTGCATGCCAAAATAAAACATGCCAAGGCTCTGCAATTTACGTTTAACAAACTACCGCAACACAAATTTACACAACAGTTCATGCAAATTTTGTCGGTTTCAATTTAAAGTCGAAAAAAAAAACCAGTGTTGCATAGGAAAAAACATTTTTTTGAGTACTCAAGCATCGATCTTTTACAGCTTTTGTTTGTTGGGGGAGGGGAGTGAGTACAATTAAACGAGGTTTGTTACTAATATAAGACACTTTATATTATTATTATATTATAGAGCTATAGGCAATCAGTATGGGTTGCGGTCATGGGAATAATCTGTCGACCGTTAAGTTCTTGTTTGAAAAAGCTTGCTTATCTTGCAAGATACAACATTGTATGTATGTATGTAAATTCACTTGCCTCGGCATTTACGAGGTTTAAGGTGCATATTATATGTGGCCCGAAATTGAGGTTAGGGCAGCAATGAGAGCAGGATTTGGCCTAAAACCCAACCAGCAGGAAGAAACAAGATATAAAGAATATACTCTGCTTTCTCACTTTAATAAGCTTAAGCTTGAACCAGATCGATGTGACTCAGTTGAAAAATGAACTAGTTCCGACATTACAATCGACTGGGCTTGGCATATCCTGTCATACGTTTGTAGAACCAATATAAAATGTATGTTTTGAAAATGTAAAAAAAAAAAAAAATTTAAAACTCACGACCGCGAAATACTTCAGGAAACCAAACCAATTGATCCAACCACAAACACAAAGATACACACGTCTCCAATAGTTAACCATGGTTCAACCCAGTGCAAAGGTGAGTTTCAAATTCTCTCAATTCAATTGCCAGATCAAGATTTACAAAGAACTTTGCTCGCGCAAGGGCCGGCTGCGTTCCGTGGGCCTCGTGACGGCAGGGGTCGTGGCTTTCTACATGGGCCTGAGCGTATACGAGAACCAGGAAGGCCTGTTCCGGACATTTGTGCTGCCGGCAGTCCGTTGGCTGCCCGCCGAGGCGGGCAACAATTTGGCATTGATGGCGTGCAAGTATCGCCTTTACCCAGTGTCCGGTTACAGGGACAACATAAACCTGAAGACCTCGTTTTTTGGCCGGCCCATAAGCAATCCCATTGGCATCGCGGCCGGCTTCGATAAGAACGGCGAGGCCGTGCAGGGGCTGAAGGATTTGGGTTTCGGTTTCATTGAGATTGGCAGCGTTACGCCCCAGGCCCAGATCGGCAATCCCAAGCCGCGCATCTTTCGCTTGCACAACGATCGGGCGATCATCAACCGGAAGGGCGTCGATAGCGATGGCCACGAGGCGGTGGTGAAGCGGCTGCGGCACTTGCGAGCCACCAAAGCTATCGATGTTGTCGTGGG